ATGTTTTTAAAATTACTCAGTATGGAGAAGGCTGGCTTAGAGATGGCTTGTAGAGGCTCTTTTTAAAGTCTGGGCGTCTTTCTATGTGACCAGTGGTGTCAATCAAAACCCTCTAATCTAGAATACAAGAGAGAGAGACGCCTCCTTTTTGTAGTTTATACTGAAACTATGTAAACAGCAGTTCATTTTAGGACATGAAATAGAACTGTTGGTACTCTTCTGTGAATATTTACAGGGCAAAAGACCAGAGTTATTATCATGCCTCTGAGAATGAAATTCTAGTGCTTTTAGGATATCCTTTGCTAGATGCCTATATAAACCACACTAGATAAATTTCTGTCAGGAATGGCATTGGTATGAATCTGCTTTAGATAGGGGAGAGACTAGATGAGTTCTTAAGGTGGTTTCCAGCCTTTTCATGCCAGATGCTATAGGTGAAGTTTTATAAACTTTTTAACCTACACTTGAGAAATGCTTAACCTGAACATCAGTATGCATTCAGCCACTGTTTGTGAATCAACACTGTTTGATCTGACTATTTTATTTGTTTAGATACTTGCCAAAAGTATTCCGGATTCCTCTGCAGAATTTTTTGGTTTTAGATATGTGTTTGCTAAGATTCTCAGGTGGCTACTGGAGACATACCTGGAGAAACAGTATGATTGGTTCAGTCCAGACAGAAGATTGGACATCACAGTATTTCTGAGGTGTTTATGTTTATTACCTGGTTTCAGTGTAGCACATAATCCCTGTGTGACAGACAATATTTCCATTTTCCTCCCAGGTGGCTAGGCTGGAAAAGAACCTTGTCTCTTAGCCCTGGCTCTCATGCATTTGGACTTTGGCAGGCAATATTTGATAGTACTTTCTCTGGATTTTAAGGATAGCAATATGATTGGTGACTAAAAAGGCACAAGAAAAATAAAGATTTCTGTCACTGACCTTCCAGTGACATTGTTGGAAGAGAGAGTAATAAATCAGGCTGCATGTATAGAGTATGCACTTAACTAATGCTATATTCTGTAATGCCTTTGAGTAAATATTTCTAGACAATTATATGACAGGGAAATTATTTTATATTTTTCCCTTTGATGGGAAGATTGCTACTGTTACTTTGCTTATTATTGTAATGATAATTATTAAACATTTCTCTTTAACATTTCTATGGGTCTGTGTTTTTCCATCAGAGTTCACGAAAAGAGACTCATTCTGTGTTCTGCCTTCTTTCCTCAACTTGGCTATTATCCTGCTCCATAAGTGACACAAGTGATTTCAATTAGCAGTTGTCAGCCAGCTGCTGGTGTATGTTTGTCGCAAGTCTTGTGACACTCGTGGGGTTTTGACCATTCCTTCCTATTTTGCTGGATGCAAAAGTGAAACTTTGGCTGTCCAGATCCTGTGTAACCATCCCTGAATCTAGTTCTTCCAGGCTAGTGAAGGAGAATCCTAGAAGCATGCCAGCACTCCTTGGCTGGTGAGTGAGTTTACCACTGTTCAGATGAGCCAGTACATCTTGCTGGATGCAGTATCCTCTGAGAAAGAGGAGTTTTGAAATCACTTTTAGTGCTGGACAAGCTTTTAGTTTAAAGTTAAAGAATACAATTGTACTAAAATACAAAGCTTAAGAAACCAGCTGCTGTGCTTTGTGGAGATGCAGAATAATAGAGCATAGCTCACCACACAGTCACACTGTTTCGGCTGGTTTCTGTCTTCTGCTGACCTGTTTGTCATGATAGTCATGCTACCTCCCAGGACAATTCACACAGGTCCTAGATCTGTGATATGGATTTTAGGACTTTTTATCCATTTTATGCTTCATGGTTTATCTCTTTTATGTTTTAGAGTGAGAGCTTCTCCTTAGATCCTATTTTCTCAACTATGAATGCCAAAAATTAATGACCTTAGTATTTGGCCTTCCCTTACCAAACTCTCCTTTTTTGTGAATGGAAATATTCCTCAGGCTTTTTAAGCTGTAATATGCATTTAATATTTTATAACATATATGTTATATAACTCATTTTATAAAAAAGGTAAAAAAATGAAGGTATTTATCACTACCTCTTGACAGAAACTGTTTAATGGCAAATAGTCAAGGAGTGCAGTGTATTTGGAATAAGAGATTCATAAACATGGCTTAGTGGCTAAGAGTGAAAAAATAGGGCTATCTTGGATTTCTGTAGGCATCCATACATTGAAATAGCGTAGAATATAAAGAATATTTTGCCAAGGCAAAGTTCCTGAAGCAGTTCTGTTTTCTCTAGGGAAGTGCTCCTATCTTAACTGACACGGTAAGAGGATTTTTAGATATGTGTCTGCTCAAGTTCCCTCAAAGGTCCAGCCTAGCAGCTGTACTTGAAACACATCTGCCCAACATGCACTGACAGAGAGTTTAACATTGATTGTAGCAGCCATAAGCAGTTTCCCTCAAAATCATGATCTGAACTGCTGAATTTGATGCTATTTATATAATAATGTCATCCACAAGGACCTCCCCTCATTCCTGCCCCTGTTCTTGGGACTGATTCTGTTGACATTCTGGTTGATTTTGATGATACTGTGCATAAACTCTTCAAGGGTCATACTCAGAAAGAGAAGGAAGTTCAGGAGTAAACAGGAAAAACTCAGACTTTGCCACAATCTGTTTTTGTGAGAAAAATATACCCTTAGGAAAACAATAGGAAAAGTGGGGGACAGGGGGAGAGACAGGCAGAATTGAACGGGCTGATAAATTTGCAAGTTAGAAGCAGTGAGTGACAAGAGTAACAGTTCCTGTTGTGAACAGGATGAGTATCATCTGATAAGAATCATGATTTTGAAACTGTTTAGGAAGGCCAAGAGCTCAGGAATAAGAGATAGATCTCTCTGAGTTCACTTCTTCTGTGTCTTTATGGAGAAGTTAAGCTTAAAAAGAAATAATCAGTTTGTTTTGCAGTGATGATTTCCCTTTTGCGTTTAGCATGGAGAGATTTAATTTTGGAAGCGTGATCCTAAATGTCCATTAGTACAGCTATAATAAACATTCATCTGTTTATTCCTTAAGCAGCATGTTTCCTAGAGCTATTCCTCTTGTTCCTTACTCCACACTTTCTCATGTCAGTCAAATTATCAGTAACAATAATCACAAATCTCATTAGGAACTAATTACATATATGCAACTTCAAGCTAGTTTACCTCTTTGCTAACATTATCTCTGAGATTAACTGCAGTCAATCCAGCTTGCTTCTGGCTCTATTAATTGTGGTTACACATCTTTACAAAGTATTAACACCTAGAACTCATCTTAATGATATTTTGCTGCTGCAGAAATAGGAAAGACCTATAAAATGGAGGACCTTTCTCTGTCTTCAGATGCATTGAACTCTGTCCACCACCCACTCTTAAGAGCGCCACCATTCTCATTTTATATCTGCTCAGTTCCTGAGTGACACAGTGAGTTCCCATGTGATCTTGCTTTCCTTACTTGAATATATGCTATATACAATACTAATGAGAACAGAGCCTTGCTGACAGAATACAGGCAAAGATGACATGAAGCAGACTGGAGAGTGAGTCGTCATAAGAACATGGGATAGATACTTTTGAAAGCTGTTACATGAACTCACTTCTTTCCTGAGAACCTGAAGGGAACAGCATGTAATTCTTCTGGTAGAGAGTGTGAAAAACAATGGCTTGCGTGCATATGATGCACCTTGCAAGGAAACTATGGGTTTGGACGGTCCCAAAGAAACCTATCTATTTCAAATATTCCAGCAAAATAGTTTTTATATGCTGTTACAACTGAGATAAAAAAGTCTATCAACATCTATGCATTGGTTCATTTCCATAATAATTTGTGTAATTTTCTTTGTTTGCTGTATGCTTGCATCTCTTCTGCAGACAGTGATGGAAATTAAGGGTAACATTTGCAACCAACAGGGAGAAAAAATAGTCTATGAAGATATATCATACTGTAGCCTATGTTAAATTGAAGCTTGTGGAATCCAACTTGCTGACTTTAAGTGTTTAATGAAAACAGAATCATTATCTCCTTCCTAGGCAGGTAGAAACTCTTTTGGGATTTAAATACATACATCAGAAGAATAGACTTGTATGTTTCTGGAAAGTTCACACCCACAGGGTTACACTTTGTTTTTGCAGTCTGAATAGTTAAGAAAAAATGTTATTCTGAAAAAGAAAATTAGAGCGAATCTTAAAGCTTCATGTTTCCTGTACTCAGTTTTAAAAAGCAACTTTCAAATGCTTATGTCTCTATTGCACTTTACTTGTGAAGCTATTAATTTAAAAAGCCGTCCTGAATTTCCCCTAAACTCTTCCCTTTCAGGGACAGGTCTTTTACAACTGTAAAATAATGGAACAAAATTCTAGCTGATTGATTTATAAACAGCTGAAGAAAACATTGTTTATATACAAAGCACTGGAACATCCTTAACCAAAGTGATGTCACTGGGTGCCACTTCACTTTTAATAAAATAAGTCGCTCCAAAGTGGCTTAAGGTGGATAGAAGACAAGGCAGCTAAAAGAGAGGCAAGGATAACTGAAACTAAAGATCCTTCTTCACCACTTGTTCTTCCGAATTGCCCCTGGCCAGTAGAAATGTTCTCTGAAGCAAAATGCCTTGAGTTGTTGATTTTATGCAGATAGCTTTCTATCTTACAAATCAGCAAAGCAGCACCTTCCTTTTCTTTTTGCTTCAAGTCAGTTACTTCATTCTTCATGTCTTTTATAGCCACAGAAATATGTATGAAGTAGGGATAGTTTGTTTAGTTTTCTTTCATGTGTGTTTGTACCTTTCTTCATCCGCTAAGTATGCTTGCACATGTGTGGGGAGAGACTGTGAGATGCTGGTTTTTATAAGGTTGACTTTTATGTCAGTATAATGAAATTAGTTTATTATGTTTTTCTGCCTTTTAATTTCATTTGGAAAAAAAATGACGTAATTTTTGCCTCATCATGTATCTTCTGCAAAACCAATTTAATGTTAACTTCTTTTATTGTGCAGAGCTGGTTACTTACCTCAGAATATTCCTTTGGAGATTATCAGATACCTTTCAGAGGAGAAGGATTTTCTGCCTTGGCACGCTGCCAGCCGAGCTCTTTATCCTCTAGATAAATTGCTGGACCGCACAGAAAACTACAACATCTTCAATGTAAGAGAGAGTCTTCTCTCCCTTCCCTGGCCCTCTTCCCTTTCCTCCCTTTCCTCCATTTCCTCCCCTCCCTTCCTCCTTCCTTTCTCTCACTCTCTCTCCTTTCACTGCCAAGAGTTGAACTGTTCCCCAGTTAGCTACTGTAAATGACCTAGGGATATTAGCTTTTTTTCCTAATTCTTCTTTATTTAAGCATAGCAGTTGTCAAGCTTTGGTTCATTTGCATTTGAACAGTGATAACTGTTGTTTGAGGCATATATGATTAGTAGAAGGAAAGGTAATTATCATTCCTATAAAATATTATGACAAATAAAGTATTTAACTTAAAGAGCCAAAGTAATTTATTTCCAGATTTTCTCTTTTGAGGAGCCCCACAGCGATATTTAGATTGATGCCTAAGCTCAGCAAGGACACCAAATGCAGGCAAAACTGAACAGGACACACGCAGCTGAAGTAAAGATTTGTAGTCATTATTTCATCCAAAAAGCCATGGTGAATTCAATGCAGTTACCTTAATTAACAAGGATTAGATCACCATTGAATCAAAAACCCATTCATAATTGGGTCCAAAGGGACAGCAGTAACAGCTAGAAGTCGATAATTAAGATAGACACGACAAAGATTTTAACATTTTACCTGAAATTAAAAAAAAAAACCAAAAAACATAGTTATGCTGAAGCATGTTTTATGAAGTACACAGGGTTTGATTCCAGCCAGTGACAATTAGAAACTCTTGGGGTTTTTTATTCACTATGAATTTTATGTAGTCTACATATTTTCAATGGCCAACATACTGTAATTTTATTTAATTTTGTAAAGCCTTCAAGTTAAGGAACTCTCTAAAGCCTGAAATGCTAAAAGGAGTTTTTTTCTTCTTAAACATATAGTTGCTTTTGTGTGTCCACAGACACACATGCTCAGAGAGTAGGAAGCTAGAGGTGGCTGTATGTATGTATATATGTAGAAGTACATATATATATACCCACACATACACAGAAATACCTGCTGACGTGGAAAATTATTTTTGTAGAATGTATACTACAGATTAATAAAGACAGACTGAAATTCTTTATCAACCTACAGTGTAGGCCTACATGTAAACCAGAGCCATAATTTAAAATGATGTTGAAATAATTTACATGTTTAGTCTGTTAACTACACAGAAAAATTCTTATAAGTCTGTCACTGCACTTCTAAACATGGCTGTGTAAAGAAAACACGATTTTAATAAATAAACCCAGTAAAATTCATGGCTAGGTTGTGTTTTATCACTACTGTTGAGAGTTTTGAAAGCAGAGGTGATAGCAGAGGGAATAAAAAGTCTTTTTAGTCAAAGAATAACGTATCTGCTCGAGAAAGCTGCACTGTGAATCTCCTTTTAGGTTGACATCATATATACATGCCTGTGCATCCACAGTAATAAAATAGATGCTCTCCCATGCAATTCTTTATATCTCAGTTTTCTTTTTCAAATTGCGGAGTTCCACTGGCAAAAGATTATGCTGAATGCAATGACAATGGTTTTCTTCAGAACTGGGCAGAATATGTAAATACATCTCCTGTGTAAAAAAGTAAAAGTAACTAAAGGATCTTGGGCTTGTTTTGTTCTTTAAGCACACCAGGAACCTAAACTTAAAGCACAGTGTAATTAAATATACAAATTTACACTTATTTGCAGCCACATTGTTCTTTATTCTGAAGTCAATTAATTGACTGTACTTGCATAACATTTTTGCTATGGCTATGGATATTAAAACAATATTCTTTTAAAACCAAACATGCACAGTGTAGTCAAGATTGTCCATAGAGCAGAAATTAAGCTGTAGATGCTCTTTCAACTTTTCATCTGTGTATTCTGAGTTCAAAATAGCATGTAAAACTTAAAATTGATGGGGTTTATAACAATAAATTGTCTTATACTAGGCATCTAATCAAATAGCTGTTCTACAGCTTACTTCTCACTATAGCAGTGAAGTATTATAAGTGGACATGTTGCTCTGCTGAATGAAAATCAAAATCTTTGGAAAGTTGGACATTATTTGAGTGTAAAAAGAGAGACCAAACATCAATAGTCAGTAGTACTTCAATTTGAAAGAAAGAATAAATGTTAACATCGAATTTTTTTTTTTTTTCCTCCTCAGGAGTATATTTTAAGACAAGTTGCATCAATGTATCTCAAGCTTGGATGGCCAACGAATAATTTAAACAAATCACTTGTTCAAGCATCATACCAACATGAGTACTGTTATGCTTCTTTTTTTTTATTGTTTGTTCATGGGATATAGTTGTAATAATGTTCTATCTAAAATTTGGTGTCATCTTCAGCATGTCATACTTTCCTAGCTCTGTGGTCCTTCTGTTTTTCCTTCCTGGGTTAGAGGGAAAGCAGCAAGAGATTAATTCCTCTTTCCTGAGTTTGGAGAACATGATTTCCTAAGCGTTAATTTAATATTTGACTGCACTGGATATTTAAGAACTTGGACTCATGTGACTGCAGAGATCAGGAAGAGCACATAAGTGTAAATGGGAGCTGGTTTTGGTCCATGACCTTTCTTTAGTTGTTGCAGCAGTTGTAGGCATTAAATTGACACTGAGATTTGAATATCTGGATTATATGTTGCCCAACTACCAGTTGCTGCCACTGTTATAAGAAATAGCTTTTTGTAAACATTCAAACATCTTCAATAATGCAGCTTTACTGCTTTCTTTAATTTGGACAGAGAGTTGCGTCGGGAAGTCATCATGCTGGCCTGCAGCTTTGGTAACAAACACTGTCACCAGCAGGCTGCAACGTTAATCTCAGATTGGATTTCTAGCAACAGAAACCGGTAAGTGAAACTGAAATGTGTATTTCCCATTTCTCCTACTCAGAGGCAATACAGTTGGCATGCTCTTCCTCTCCTGCCTGCCCCCATCCACAGTGCCCCATTCTGCAGGGTGGTACGTAAGGAAGCAGAGGTCTCTGGCTGTTAGTTAAAAATGTCTGTGGGGCTTCAGAATGAATTATATGACTTTGCATGTATGAGTGGGTGGAGGGGACACCCATATAGTCTCTGCCCACTCCTGATAAATTGCTGTTAGATAATTATATGCTAGAACAAGAGACGATGGCTTTTAAGGAGGGGTTTAAAGGAAGAAAGATGAGTGAACTCTGCATTGGCAAACACTGAAAATATTTTACTTTCAAGTAACAAAAAGAGAAGAGAAAAAGTCTTACATTTTTAGTCTTAGTCTTGTATTAGCTCTGCAAAAAGATCAGATCTCTATAGACATATAGGCATGTAGGAATTTTCAAAGACATCTTGGGCCAATCAGGTATTTCTTTTCAGTTAAGATGTGTCTGTCTTTGTAATATTTCAACATCCTTTGCAGGCTTAGCCAGTTACACATGTACATGAGTGTCTTTTAAAACCAGCCATGAACTGAGAATTAATGGAAATTACATTCCTATATGACTTTGAAACTTGTGAAAAAAAATATTTTGAAACTATGACTATCTACCTTTAAATAAGATGTGTGTGAGGGGGAGGGTTTTCTTGTGTGAGATGATACCAGATATATTTACTAAGAAATATATACCCCAGGGTTTTATATGAATTATTATCGTCAGCAGCAACAATGAAACTATTCAAAGAGGATATTAAAGAGAAAGGATCATAGGAAAAAAAAAATCTTCAAAAGTAATTTACTTAGATAATAATTTGCAAAATTAGTTAATCAAACCTAGCACCATCTATTAGCATGCACAGCAGTAGATGATTCAGTGTTAAAAAGCTGTCACCGTGCAAAGCTTTCTCCTACCCTGTGTCTTCATCCTTTCCAGCAGGATTGAAGAAGGAGGCATCAGGAAAAAAAAAAAGCAGCTTAATGCTTTGCTAACAATAGCAAGAGAGGAAAGGAATAAATTTAAGGAGCCATCTGAAGATTCATCTTAGCCTTTCTATGGGACCATTCTTGGGAGCACAAGATTGTGGTTGCCAGCATATGACAAGTATTATGATAAAAGCATCACAGCAGGGCAGAGGTAGAGAGTAGTTACTAAGTTAAAGCAGTGCATTTCTCCAAAGGAACTGCAGTTTTGAAGAATAGCAGCAACAAATAATGTAATTACAGCATACACATTGACAGCTGATAAATAGGGGTACAACTTGTAAAGACAGAGATGTGTTTTTATTTCTTTTGATTATAGGATTTGTTCAGTTCCCCACCCTAGAATTTAGCAGTTGCTATCTCAGTGCAGTCTTACATACTGAGTGTAACTAACATATGAGCAGACTCACTTCCTACCTATTTATGCTGAAATGACATTGCAAAGGCTACTAGTAAAAGCGGCTCTGTAGACATAAAATCATCTTGTGTTTCACAGTAACAACATTTGTAGGGGTCTGCATCAGGGTTACCCCATATCACCTTTGCTCAGTTTAAATCAACTCAGACTGAAACCTGGTAATAAAGCAGTGGCTGTTTTCCTTGCTTTCCGCCAGGAAAATTATGGTGATTCTACAATCAGAGTTTAATTAAATGGTATTTGAGTCATGATTCTACCTCTTTAGCACTTCAGAGACAATAGTTAGCTCAAGTGCAAAGGGCAAGCAGATAAGTACAAGATACATGCAGAGAGCACATCCAACAGGTGCCATTTTATACTTTCTCATCAATTGCTTGTTTTGCTCAGTTTGATGCCCTTAACAGCTGTTTGTGAATTTTCTGCAAACAGCCACCTCAGAATCTGTAGGAATCCCTTAGAGCTTGTTTCCTCACAAAGAAGGCAAAACTCATGCTGGTCATCTTTCTCCAGACTTCTCTGACAGCTCCTGGTGAGGAAGGGTGGTGATAGGAACAGAAAGTATATGTATCCTTGCCCATGCCACTTATTGGCAATGAGGAAACTTGTATCTGCTGAAAATGACTCTTAAAGTTCTTATAGATACCCTTCCCTCTTCTGAAACAGAATGAAGACATTGACTGATGCACTGTAGGAAATCTGGTCTTGGTGGGTTTGCACAGCCAGAGCATGAAGATAGGGTTCCAGAGAGCTCAGAGATATTTTATGTACAGGTATAATTTGAGTTTTACTATGAGAGTAAAAATAAAGGCTAATTTTCAACCCTTCCACCCATCCCCTCCCAAAAACCTTATTCTGGATGATGAGAGGTTTCATACAATAAGCTAATTCACAAGCAGCTCATGTTGGAAGGAACAAATTCTTAGAGCAGTAGACCCCAAAATGAGACAATGGAATTAGACTTGTGTCCCAAGATTCAAATCAATACAAAATTAGGGTGGTATTAAATTAATATGTGGTATTAAAATACCACATAAATGCACAGGCAGTAAATCATGTAAAGGAGATTTTTGATTCCCTAGCAGTGACTGCAGTTAAAGTCCAAATACATGTAACAGAGAACATGCAATTAATAACACTCGTAGAAATGCTAAAATTAATAAATTTTTAACCACATTTTTAATCTATGGCTTTTTAGAAGTTCTTTTGAAATGTTTTTTCTGTTTCACTCATGGCATTTAATTATGAATAAAGTGTTGGGTAGTAAACAGATACAGTAATATCTAACTGTTTTACCAGCATATGCTTACAGTTGCTGTGGTTTTTAGTAATTATATTTAGTCTGGTAGGTCCAGAAATTAATTACCATCTACTCTTCACTGTAGGGGATTGAAATAATAATCAGTTACTGTTTGTACTTTGTAATTACATGTTCTTTACTGTGCACATAATTTGCCACAGTAAAATAATGGTCATTCAAAGCACAAAGCCAGAGGTCCTCTTTGTGTTTCTGCACTATTTGAAAAAAACCCATTAGATTTCCAACTGTAGCACTGCAGATTTTCTTATGGAATTAGTAAAAAAAGCCCATACATGTGAACTGCAACATTAAGTCTCTATGCATGAAGGTGGCAGTCAGCTGAGAAGCTTGAAGGCTTGAATTTCTGAAGTGACAGGTGCTTCAGTGCTTCATTTTTAGATGCCTGGCTCACAGGGCAGAATTAGACTCTTGGAGTTACGCTTCCTACAAGGAGATTTGGCAACCTCTAAATGAAGTTGGTGGCAGCCACAGTGCTGAGTGAAGAACATCAGACTGTGAAGGGAGAATATGCCCTCTTAGGGTCCAGCACTACAGGTAGAAAGATATCTGTATCAAATTAATATATGTAAATGGCGATCACAGAGTTAGGGATCCTTGCAAAAGGTGCCTTTCAAAAGTGTCACTAAATCAGGAAAACGTCCTCATTTTTCTTTTCAAATAGAGCTGGTGGAGAAGCTGCTTCTCAACACCCTTTTAAACAGTAATTCAGAGATTGTGGTAGAACTTCAGTTTAGTACCTCAGCCCTGCATCTGCCACATGCAGAAGACCACCCTGATGACCTATCTGCGAGGTGTTTGGGACAGTACTGAGACACCACAAGACACTTTACTCCTCTCATTGAAGCTCAGCCACTGTGATTTATTTTATTATCAGGAGAAATAATACAGTTCTCCAGCCTAAAGATGAGAGAGCATTCATCTGAGGAAGGGAGGCTTGAGTACCTGAAATACCAGGATTACAATGTATGCAAAGGGCTTTAGGTTGTATTGCTCATGCTACTTCTGCAGGGCAAAACATGATGCTAAAACAAGGAACATAACTCTGAAAAAGAAGTTTGGCTCTACAAGAGGCAACCCAAACACATACATCACGTGTAGAAGAGGTTATAAGGAGACATCTGGTTGTACTGGTCTAGGAATCAATATCGTATTTTAACCCTTGCAATTGTTAAAAAGAAGGGATTCTTTTTTTCAACTGAAAATCTGAGATTAGACTTCAAGGTATGTCTTACAGGTTTTTTTAATCAATGAATTTAAGTAATTTTGCTCTTTGTTAACAGCTGATGGCTTCAGCACATTTGCTTGAAAGTCTGCATTGACTTCTGACTTGAGATTTGATATGAAGGCAAGCATTTTTACTCTTGTTAAATTGGGACATATGCTACTCCTGTATTGGAGCAATGGAAACCATTGAAACTTCAATGTTTGTATTCCATACATGGAATACAAACTAGTAGAAAACATATAAGCACATTGAAATTTCCCTCTGTAGTTTGAGAATCTAAGGTTACTGGGATTCAGTCAACAGCAGAATGCTGTACAAGAGAAGCTACTGTTAGCTGAAAATTAAGATGTTTGCTTCTACCTTCATTAAACTGAGCTCATCCCTGTGAAGCTCTTTCATGTGTGAAGAAATACATTATTCACACTCCTTAGATATAACAGTATTGTGGTTCAGCCTAAAAAATTAACAAAATTACCATACAATGCCTGCCTGAGCTTGGGAATCAGCCTTGTTAACCCCTTTAACCTTCACTGCGTATCTCTTCTGAAAGAAAAACATGTTTCTAAGAGGATTAGCATTTTCAGACTTTCTGTATTGGATAGACTGAGTGAACGTGTATTTCTGAGGTTCAGGAAAGAATGTGTGGAGAGCTGCAATCTAAACTCCTGACAGGATATATCATAACAATGGGTAACGTGAATATACACTATGATGGCTCAAAGCATAATTTATCCATAGACACAAGCATGTTTTTGCAAGCCTCTCTGTGGGTGCAGACATGATTTTCTTCCAGCTACTGTTACCATCCATCAGCTACAGGTTTCCACATACATATTTCTGCTGGCAGAGTGGACTGTGGATGCATGCTTGCTTGAGGCAAAGTTAGTCAGGATAGTGTGAATGTGAGTATATGAGAGAGCTGCTTTGAACTGAGACAGCTGATTTTGCCTTCAGCAGAAAAAGGAGTGCTTGTATTCTGGTTCTGTTAGTAGAGCTG